GTCGGTTTCGGTCGCTTTGGAGTGTCTTCTTTTACGATTTGCAGTGCACTTATTTTCCTTTCCAGTTTTTTCGACACTGTGTACACTTTGAGTTCCAGTTCGTCTATGTACTCTGATTTCGAAGGCAGGCCTTTCATATTTTACCTCCAAATCTTTCAGTGTTGACTGGACTTTCTTCCAGAGGAAATCTAGCGTATCTTTGTAGCTAACGATTTCATCCTGGTTGCTGAGCTCAATGTTGGCCAGCACCTCTTCAATGTGCAGCCGTACTCTTTGAGCTCTTTCGTCCACAAGGCTTACCAACTTCTCTATTGGGCTCGACCAACCAAATGAAAATATCTCTTGCTTTGATGTTTCTGGTCTCGTTTCCCAACTATAAAGTTGTTTTGTGTCTATGGCGTGGTCGGCAACTTCGACTTTCATGAACTCTTTATTGGTTCTGATTTCTGCCATTATGCCACCATATTTCTCTTTAAATATTGATGGTTGACGACACAGTTGTTTGTTTATTGTAGATCCATTGGCTTATCCCGTTGGAGGTTTTTTTGTTTTGATCACCAGGTTGATCTTGCTGTGCCTTGACTCACAGCTTGGGTTGGAAAGCCAATGCACAAATCTATAATACTAGCACTTCACTTTGTACTAATCACAAACATTTTTCCTTGTGGATGAATTTGAAGTATTAAAAATACTTCATCCGGCTTGAAGGACCATGAACGAATACACTTCACTATGATGGTGTTTAGTTTTGTATTGATTCTTTATTCTGCTGGGCCCGGGTTTTTATACCCAGACTCATGTATAATTTCAACCATTAAATCTAGTGCTTCTATTGCTGAGTGTGTAAGGCTCAGCATTGGTCTATTACATATTATTAACTTATCGCGTAGTTTGTAAGACTCCGCATTGGTTTATTAGCTATTATTATGCTATCGCTGAGTTTGTAATGCTCAGCGCTCGCCTCTTACGTATTCTAATCGCTAAGGGTCAGGGTCATAATTTATGCCCAGTTTGACAGTTCACACTTGAAACATGTGTTATTTATTTTATGCTAGCTGTCGAGTGCATAGCGCGTACGTTCCCCTACTTATCATATTTTTATGTTCATGCATGTGCATGAACAACGAATTTGAAAAGAAGGCAACGTGTGACTAAAAATTTTTATGGATAGTCCCAAAGAATAAGGATCAAGAAAACGAACTGGGCGAAACCCGTTGCTAATTGCGCGCGATAAACGCAAAATTATTAACAAAGCCAGTAACAGCTTAACCGCCAGTACTGCTTTGGCCTCACATGTGGCCGAATCTATGTCAGCGATGAGCGTTTGGCGAGTACTTAAGAGCTCAGAAGTCATAAAGAGGTCTAAACTGACCAAAGCACCCATGTTGCTAAGTCATGTTGCCACTAGGTTGCTCGACTTAATTTTTCCGAAAGACACTGCGAACGATCTGACATACGCGCGTTTGAATCATCGTCTTTTGGCTTACAGTATATATTTTTACCCCAACAGGTCATATTTTCCGATAAGAAACAGTTTAGCCAGCATGGTCCTGACGGGTTTGATTCTTATTAGCATGATTTGAGAAAGGTTCGTATGTTTTTCTCAAGGACAGACTTTGGAGGTGGGTCCGTCATGATTTGGGGTACATTTTGTTCCTTTGGAGTTTAAGTTTGTAACGAGCCGAATGAACACTGAAGAGTATATTCAGGCTCTGGATAGTAGTCTCATTTCATATTTAATGGGATTTCGTTAGCAACCAATGGTTTTCCAACAGGATAATGCCAGAATCCATGTGAGCAGACGTACAAAGGAGTATTTGAAGGAATGTCATTTTGATGTCCTTAACTGGCCATCATGTTCTTCAGATCTCAACCCAATAGAAAATGTAATCTTGCAAGATGCAAATTCCAAATGAATGGCATGGTGTTTTTCCTTGTTTTTGTATTTCCTTTAAGAAATCGATATTAATTCGTTAATTTTAAGTGAAAAAGTTTTTTGCTATTCATAATTGAAATATTGAACTACTCATTTTTTAAGATTTTGACAAACGTTAACGTTGAGCTCTTTCCAAAAACTGGCCAAAAATGCGGTGTCTACGCCCAGTAGGTGCGTTGCAAATCGAGAAAAACTGCATTTTCTACAGTATTAGAGCTAGACACTCAAAACTGAGGTACGATATTGCTGATGGGATAAGAATTAGTATTCTGCAGTTGGTAACGCCCGACTTCAAAGTTCTTACTTGTTTTTATTTCATTTATATTTTAAATACATATAAAGAAATTAAAATTTTGAACCGAACTAAATGTGCTTTTTATACCCTGAAATCATTGAAAATGGGTTATCAGGGTATGATGGTTTTGTTGAAATGTATGTAACAGGCAGAAGGAGGCGTGACAGACCCCACAAAGTATATATACTCTTGATTTGGGCGACGAACTGAGTGGATTTAGCCGTCCGTCTGTCTGTCAGTCCGTATGCTTGAACGTCAATCTCAGAGGATATAAGAACTAGAAACTAGAAATTTGTTTCGCATATCGAGTTTATCTCAAAAAATCGATTCATTTTGTATCGATTAAAAACCTTATCGAAAATCAGTAATATAATTATGGCTGCTACATCTTTGAAGATAGAGTCGCCAAATTTTAAATATATATTCATATGTACATTATAGCATTTCGATTTTTTTTTATAATTCATCCCCCAAGTGATGTAAATCTGAATTTAAAATTTAAAGACTGTATCTCTAAAAATGTAGGAGATAATAATTTATATGTAATTTTCGGTAAGGTTTTTAATCAATAATAAAATAAAAGAAGAGGTTATCGATTTTTTGAAAAAAAAAATTTCAAGTCTCTAGCTCGTATATCTTCTTAGATCGACGCGTTTAAACATACGGATTAGAGGCCTGTACGAATTCATTTGAAATGCTAAACGAGACACTCGTGTTTTAGTAGTGCTTGCTGTCTCACTGTCTCGTTTTTTTTACTCATTCACGAAAGTGAATTAGTATATAGGTTTTGTGCAATGTCCATCTTGCTGTCCGTCCGTCTGTCCGTATGAACGCAGTATATTTCAGCGCTATTGAAGCTAAAGACTTGAAATTTGGAACACATACTCGTGTATAATATAAATATAAAATTTTCCCGATACGCCCACTAGGGGCGTGGCAAATCGGAAAATGCATTTTCCGATATGCTAGAGATCATATTAGTTGAAGAGCTAGAAACCTGAAATTTTGAATGTAGATCCGCGTCGACCACCCAAGATGACGAGCTATGACGAATATATCTATTCCCATTGGGGGCGTCCCAAATCGGATATAACCGTATCTCCAAGAGTTTCACAGCTAGAACGCTGAAATTTTGCACGTAAGTTAATGTTACGATTCTATAGAGTCTAATAGAATCTAATTTATATGTCTACGCTCATTAGGGGCGTGGCAAATCGGATCTGAAGATATAGTGATTTTTTAAATTCTACTACACTATTAATGCTAGAGACCTCAAGTTTGGTATATATACTCGTGCTGACCACCCAAGACCAAAAAGCTTTGTCGGATATATGTCCGCCCACAGGGGGTTTGGCAAAACGCAAAAGCTTATATCTCCTAAAGTATAACAGATAGGATAGTTTGGATAGTTGAGTTACTAGTAACCTCCTCTATCGGTGACCGAAAAATAATTTGTACGCCTCTTTAGGGGCATGGCATATAGAAAAATACCCTGTAATTTTCACATTTTTTTTAGCGTAAGCACTTAAATTTTTTAGCTAGGGTACCGTTATCTCGTTCTAAGAACTCACCAAAAATGAGGTGTCTACGTCCAGTAAGGGCGTGACAAATCGGGGAAAAGCTGAATTTTCTACAGCATTAGAGCTAAACCTAGCTTCTAAATTGCTTATGGGATGTAAATGAGTATTCCGCAGTCGGTAACGCCCGACTGCAACGTTCTTACTTGTTTCAAGTAGTGTAAGCCCAAGCATCGCGGACGAACGAGCTATGCTTACATACTGAAAAGTTCGGTATGCAAATGCTTGTACAATAAAGAAGCAACGAAAGAAAGAAACGATAAAGCAGCAACTCCAATAGATTTGTTTTCATTTTAGCTATCAGCTAGTGTTGCCAGCTTAGGCTATCTCCATCTAGATTTAGCATATTACTATTGAATACACATACACATTTTTATTTAGAAAGAAAAATGAAAAGATTTTATCAGAGCTCGCAAATGAGAGTTGATCGTTTTTCGCATATGCTCTGCTTTCGATTCCGCTCTGAGCGACACTCTTTGTTTTCTTTAGAATCTGTTTCGGTCAGACGCATTGCAATGACTCATTCGTGAGACGCTCTCAAATGAGTGTCGCGTAAAGACTAATACGATTTTCGCTCACACAAAGACTCTCAGCAAAACACAGTTTGACTAAGAAACTCAACAGAAATGATCTTTGCCTTCGTAAATACATGCATACATAAAAGAACGCAACAAACCCATGCAAACGCAACTGACAGTTTGCTTCATTTAACTCAAGCAAACGATCAGTGTTTGACTTGAGCGAAACGAAAACAGAAATAACTGCCTCGCTCAGAGCGCGAGCGAGCTAAGCCAGACAAAAACAGTTTCTGTCTGAGTTTTTTTGATTGTGTCAGTGAAAGAAACTTATTTGCAGACAACGAAAAAGTGTTAACAGTTATTCATATAAACGTAATTTTATACACATAGCCATTAAAAGATTTTAATATATATTTGTATGTATATATATATTTATTTATTTATTTATTTATTTTATTTTTATTTATTTTTTTTTCAAATTGAAATTTAAAACCGTAATTTCATTAATTATGGCTAATTAGCCAATTCTAGCCTGATTCAGCGCAGAGGGACCTTTTGTTCAATATTAATAGACCATCTCGGTCGAGCGCATGAAGCGAAATGATTGTGCTTTCGTATATTTTCGTAGCCCGAACCCAAAAAGTGAGGAGCCGAGCAAATACGAAGTGTCTGGGAGATAACTCTCGAAAAAAAAGTGTGCAAAACGCTTTACACTACTTGTCCGGTCTATGTGTTCTCTGGTTAGTGGTTTTACCCTGCTCAAAGCGTAAGTAAAGTAAAACAGAATACTTGACGACTTTGAGTACCATTCGTTTCGTTTTGCAGCAATGCTTGCAAACACTTGCAAACATCAGTATATTTGGAAAACGACCGCAAGCGAGTATAGCCTATAATACGGACAGACGATAATTCGACTCTTCGCCCTATTCAAGAATATACCTTGTGGAGTCTGCCACGCCTTCTGCTGACAATTCCATTATACCTTTATTTCCCATTTTCAATCTGTTCAGAATATAAGCAATTACGTTCCAATACTGCAGCCCATGCGTGTGTTTCTTTGTGTTAAAATGCGGAAGTATCAGTTGTCCCAAGGGTCCAGGGATCTCATAGTCGACCAGTCTCTATTCTCTCATACTCATTACTTTAACTTAATCTTATTAAAATTTTAACGATTTATTTGCAGAATCTCGGCTAATTACATTTTCACAAATAATAAGATGAAGAGAAAGTTAAATCGTATGAATAAGTGGCTAATGCGTTAAATTAGTTTAAGTGTGAACAAATTCCACACGTAAGGAGGGAAATGGGTTCAAACACATCCAACGTTGGTTACCCAATGGCCGCAACTACTGAAATCGCAAGTACAACCACTGAAAATGGAAACGCATTTGCTGCGTCAAATCCTGGAAGTATGGGTTCAACAAGCTCAAACGGAATTACTGAAAGCCCTGGCGCAAGTTTTTCTTATAGCGGCACGCATTACCATCGCGATCAAAGGCGAAAGCGAGTGACGGGTTTTGCGACGCTTAAGCGGAAGTTTATACGTCGTCGACGATCATCAAAAGCCTGTGATCATGCGCGTGTCTTACGTGACTTTGTATCTGAGTGGACGCCTCTTGAATTGGCAGCTCTCTGTGAAGAGTTCGAAGCATTGGCTGCATTAAGAGATTTATCGGTAATTAAATGTTTATTGTCGATAAAACGGCGCAGCACTAATTTTTGTTTTGTATTCAACAGGTACAAGCAGAATTAGCTCGTCCACCAGCAGCTACATATAAACAAGATCTGGCTGCTCTTTACGATTTAAATCTCTGTACTGATTGTGACCTTGTATTTCGTGGATCTATTTTTCCTGTGCATCGTTCTATATTATCCTCACGTTGTACATATTTTCGAGATCTGCTTTCAGGCTGTCCGGGATTTGGGGCACGCATATGTCTCGAACTTCCTACGTCACCTATTGATGTAAAAATATTTTCTATATTGCTACGTTATTTATATACGGGCGATCTTTGTGCACATGATCCGACCGTAAATATCAATTTGTTGCGTCAACTAGGCGACGATTTTGGTACACCTAACCCCCTTGAACATGATCTTCGCTATTTGTTAGAAACAGGTGATTATGCAGACGCAGCACTCGTGTTCACAGCGGAATGTGGAAACGATTACTTACGCCAAGAATCGATTAATTCTGAGTATGGCTTTCGGCCAAAACTAGAGCTTCCATGTCATAAAGCTATATTAAGTGCGCGTTCACCATTTTTCCGTAATCTAATAGCCCGCCGAACGCGTAACATTGACGAGTACGTAGAGCGCTCTATACACGTACCAACGCGCATTGTTCTTGATGAGACCGTAATACCAAAAAGATATGCGCGTGTTTTACTACACGCTATATATTTAGATACTGTTGATTTAGCTCTAATACTTCGAGGTGCTGGAACGGGATCTTCGACTGGCTCTCTTGGTGAAGTGCACGCATTGACTAATACTGGTCGAGTACGACCAACTACTCTTGAAGAAGCAATGGAGTTATACCAAATAGGCAGGTTTCTTGAACTTGATATTTTAGCACAGGGATGTGAGGATTTAATACTTGAGTGGTTGTCCCTTGATACCCTATCAATGGTCTTAAAGTGGGGATGTCAACCACATGGCTCTGCTTGGGTTTTTCGTCAAGCATGCCAGTACTTGCGCGAAGAGTTTTCCGCAATTAGCTCTTCACCAGTGCTGAATCAGTTAGATAAATCACAGTTGGTACATGTATTACAAAGTAACTTCTTACAAGCATCCGAATTAGAAGTTCTACAAGCAGTGCTAAAGTGGGGAGAACAAGAGCTTATCCGGCGCATGGAGGATCGTGAACCAAACCTTTTAACGCATACTGCCCATTCTGTAGCGAGGAAGGGTGTTAGAAAGCGGGACTTAAGTGATGTTGAGCTGCGCGAAATACTTGCCGAACTACTGCCATTGGTAAGAATGGATCATGTTTTACCGCCAAATAGTGAAGTTCTCTGTCAAGCTATACGCCGGGGTCTCGTTAGCACACCGCCATCACATATGATTGGTGACGATCGTGAAAACTTGCGAGTTAATGCTTGGATTCGAGGAGGTAAAAACCAAGGCCTTTTTGTACGACCACGTCTTTTCATGCCATACTTTGAAGAAGTAAAAGCCCTTCTAGAAGATCGAATGGCATCATCACATCACCAACTTGAACTCATGCGTATGCGTAGATCTCGACAATTTCCCGACATTCCAGATACCCTTTACATGGTTTCACGCATAAACTCTTCTTCGAACAGCAGCTTTGCACCTGGCGTTACTTGCAGTATTAGTGGCGATAATAGCGAAAAAATCGATGCTATTGCTATTCCACCACCAGATAGCCATACACTTGCAGCAATGCGCAAGCGTGAGCATAAGCTTCGCCAGTCGCCCATGTGCCAACGCGCACTACTTCTGCCACTTTCATCAAAACATGAAATCGACCGTCAAATTCGTCTTCGAGTCGTTAGAGAATTTAATCTACCAGATGAAGTGTCAGATCTTCTTGAAACTTCCATATTAACTAACCACGGCGATGGAGATGACTGCAATGGTGTCTCATCCACCATACAAGCGAGGGAATGTCTATTAGAAGATGAAGATCAAAGTTCGCCACCCTCACCGGCCGCTACTGGTTCTATACGCCCAACAGCTGTGTCCGCTTCATGTTTGTCGACTTCATCAATGGCCTCATCAGTATCTTCGGCGTGCGGAGCAGATGGTGTGCATGACTGTTACAGTCGAAACATGACTTTTCCACGTCTGCACTCGAACAGCTTACTTGGTGTCAGTCTCTTAACAGAGAACTCTAGCTCGGCCCTTCAGACAAGTTACGCTCGGCTATCGACATCAGCGCATCATCGTAACGACTTGCCAGCCTTAATTAAAGAGGGGGATTTTCGATATCCACATAATAATCCTTTAAACATGGTCAGAAGTGGCGAGACAGGTGCTTGTGGCATAGAGGTTGGCAACGGTCATCTGTCCGATATGATGCCCGATGTAGCCATGGCTACTGCATCATTAGGTCAACTACATCTCAGCACTGGTGGCTGCGTGGGTAATGTCAGCAATTGTCCAATTGAAAGCAGCAGTGATGTGTCAGAAAGTTTACAGCTTGATTTAGGAGATGGACCAACTCCGCATATCATCAGTAATGCAACTGGTGTGATAACTTTACGCGACTTACAGGTGAATTCCTTTAAAATATTTGTTTAAAAATATTATTTTTATCTAATTGTATTTTCTAAAATAGCATCAACTACCAGAAAACAATTTTCGCCACATGATTCAGCGGTCGAGCTCGCCATTTGACGTTCTACGACGAGGACAGCACTCGCCTGCTCCACAGCTTCCTCCTTCAGACGCGCTAAACTCTGGACCACCTAGGTTTTTATAGAGGTTGCAAATAGCTCCCGATAAGCAATTTTATTTTAGCACTCCATTTTGACAAAAAAAACTTTACATTTTCCATTTACAAAAAAATGATTAACATTGATATTTCAAAGAATATTAGGTCATCTGAATACAATATGTATGTAAGCGTAAACGTCAAAATGCAAGAAATTTATCGTATTAAAAATATACGCCCACTACATCATTACGTTGGTTAAGCTACACTTTCGACTTTCGATGTAAGCGGAGCGTATGTACAAAAGAGAAATTAATAATATTAATATACTAATATCTGTCGTAACTAAAAGTACACCTAGTTTTTTTTATTATAATAATCAATTAAATCACAATTAAATAAAAATAAAGTATTTAAATAATATATTGATCAATCAAAGCATTCGTTAAATTGGAAAAGACTGAATTTTCTACAGTATTTGATCTAGAAACTGGAAATTTAGAGATTAAATTGCTTTTGACCAATCGGGGACGTAGCAAACCGAAAAAGGGGCTATAATGAGCATTCTACAGTCGGAAACGCCCGACTACAACGTTCTTGTTTCCTTTCTTTGTCCGTCTGTCCGTATGTCTGAACGCGTCGATCTCAGAAGATATAAGAGCTAGAGACTTGAAATTTTTTTTCCTAGGTCCGTGTATACCACGCGCATATCGAGTTTCGCTTTAAATATCGATAATTTGTCCCGTTATTTTGTTATCGATTAAAACATTATCGAAAACCAGTATTAAATTTATATCTTCTACATCTTTAAAGGTAGATCTACAAAATTTATATGTATACTTACATAAATATATATTTATACAATTTCGGTTTTTGTGAAAATTTACCCCCCACCCCTATTTCACCCCCTCACCCACATATTTGTAAAAAAACGTATTTCAAATACTAGACTTGTGCTTTGGCAAATGCATGTATATCTATGTTATATTTATAATCTGAAAGTTTCATGAATATAGTCCATCCACAAGAAAAGTTATTAAACAATTATTATTTATTTATTTATTTATTGTTATCAAGAATTAAATTCTTAATGACAAATTGTTAAGCCAGAGCGACAAAGGCCTTCAGGCATTATTTACATTCTATAAATTAATTATTTTATATACACTATTTACATTCGATACTTATTTATATATACATATACACACATATATACATACATGTATATATACATATTTCCATTATATTCATTATAGCTCTATTTTGAGTTTATAATTTTTATAAAATTTGCTATATTTGTTTTATTAGGTTCTGAGATAAGGATATTGAGTGTGGGAGAATTAAGGGATTTGCAGATATTCATTACGTGTTGGCATTGGAGTTGTAGGTGTTTTGTTGTCAAGGTGTCGCTATTGCAAAATGGGCAGGTAGGAGCAAGTGTTTTATTAAATATGTATTCGTGAGTCAGTTTTGTGTGTCCTAGTCTGAATCTTGTATATTTTATTACGTGTTTCCTATCTGTTTTAGTTGGAAAATGTGTAGGTTCTCTTGCAGGGTTGATCGTTTTGTAGAAGTGAGTGTAGTTATTCCAGATTGTATTAAGTGTTTCCTTGGTTGTTATGTTAATCATTTTATTA